GTGCCTTCACGCCTCTTTAGAGGAAGGTAAAGGCAAATGGAAAGTCTGCTGATAATTCTCAAGAAGTTTAATTTAGAATATTTTAAAGTTAAACTTCCAAGAAACATAAATATTTCATGCAGGCAACATGCTCATGTCATTTTAAAGGCACTGCTGAACTCCCGAACTCTACATCCTCTGCATTTGCAAAGGCACTGGAGGAATTACTGTCCTGATAGTTTAATTAATAATAATCATACCCTTTCCAGATCAGACTTCCAAAGTCAAGCGCATAGGAAGAGAAGGTGTGTGCATGAGACAAGCAAATCTATCTTTGGGTTTTAACATTGGACTTCCTCCTTGCAGCTCCTTGTAGACCGTCATTAGTCTCATGATGGTACTAGGAGACAGGAACACAGGAAGGAGTTTGGGGAAGGGGGTGGAGGGGGGAACTGTGAGTATTCATTGGTGGCTGGTCTGTATGAAGCAATTTTCTGGAGACAGAAAGAGAAAGATTGTTTCTATCCTTAGGGAGGGGATAGCTCAGGGTAGGAGGCAGAATGGATATAAATAACTGAGCAACATAAACTATTTTTTCAATCCCATAGAAAAAGGTAGATGATCATCCTTGCCCATGTGGTCTCCTGGAGCAGGGGTAGCAGACAAGTTAAGGGAGAAGTCGCCAGTTGTCTTGAAAAATGGAGATGTGTGACCTCTATGGGGGAAGGAAATGTCGAAAAGGAAAGAAAACAGCAGGTGCGATGATGTGGGATGGAACAGAATTAGCCTGAACAGGAGAAAGGTTTGTAGGAACACCGACATGGGAGGGAGGATGCAGGAGAAGGTGTCAGGGTCTGCTTCAAGTTCCTGCTTGGGTTCCTGCCCTTGCTTCTGTTAATGATGGACTGTGCCCAGAAAGTGTAAGCCAAATTAACCCTTTCCTCCCCTAAGTTGCTTTTGGCCATAGCGTTTAGCATAGCAACACAAAAGAAACTAGAGCAGACACCAAGCATGCCTTCCTGGCTAGTGTATGTCACACATGAGCGGGGTTGACTTTTAGCACTAAACTTCGTCGTATAATAAAACTATCTTCAGTTATAACAGTATTATAATAGCTACAGAAGAAATGTGAATAGTGAAAATTTTCTTACGTGTAATCATGCCTACAAAATAAACAAAAAGGGTGGAGGCTGGACAGACGGCTTGGGGGTTAAGAGTATGTACTGCTGTTTCAGAGGACCCAAATTCAGTTCCCAGCGCCCATCACGGTGGTCCATAACTGTCTGTACTCCAGCTCCAGGGGACCTGATGCCATTTTGGGGCCTCAGAGGACATTGCACTCATGTCCCTTCACCACACACAGATACACAGATGCACCGATACACAGACACACAGACACACACATACACACACGCACACATACATAATCAAAAATAAGTAATAAAATCTTGGAAAAAAAAGAAAGTTTTTTGTATAAAAAATGAATGCAGACTAATATTTCTAAATGACATAAATATAAATGTATTTGGGGGCAAAGGGAGGGGAAGATGCACGCCTGCACGTTAATCTGAAGTAAAAATCAATAATATCAAAGACCAGAGAGCGTCCCTGAAACATCTGTGAAGGAAAAAGGGCCTTCAAAGGGACACGCATCAGTGGAAAGACTGGGGCGCACAGCTGCGGTGAGGCTCTGTACTGAAGGATGAGTTAGGAGCTCATCCGTTTCGTTGAGGACAGGGCCCAGGGATGGCATTCCATGGGGTGAGGGAACAGCATGGGACAGGCAGAGAGGTGCGACCAAGCCTGAATGAGCCAAGTATTATAGGTCATTTGACCTGACAGGCTAAGACTCCATGAGAAGAAAGGGGAATATGAGCTTAGCAAGGGAGGAAATAGAGGGCAAGTGTGTGGTGAGGCAATGCCTCTTTGTCTTTTTCTTTTTGTTTATGTTCATGTTGAGACAGGGTCTCCCTGAAGCCCCAGCTGGCCTGGAACTTTGTAGACCAGGCTGGCCTTGATTTTACAGAAATCTGCCTGCCTCTGCCTCTGCCTCCTGAGTGCTGGGATTAAAAACATGTGCCACCTCACCAGGCCAGGGAGCTGCTCCTTGAAAAGGCAGGTGGTAGTGTGCAGGTAGATCTATTATGATGGTGATGGGAGAAGCGAAAGGCCTCCTTGGCTACATGAGACTCTGCCTCAAAAAAATCAGGAAGAAAAGGGTAATGATACATTATATCCAGATTGTGGCTGTTTAGCAACAGAAAGCAGAAGGACACTTAGATGGTGGTATCTGGATGCAGGTCTCCCTCAGAGTACCAGGGACTGAACCTGGAGTCTCAATTTACATTCAATGTCAGTTTATCATCTACCTACCTACCTACCTACCTACCTACCTACCTATCTATAGATAAGGTCTTATACGTTCTAGGCTGGCCTCAAACTTATATGTATCTGAGGATGACCCTGAACTCATGATCCTCTGGCCTCTACCTGCTGAATGCTTGTGCTACAGGCATGAACCACCACACCTGGTTTATGCAGTGCTGGAAGCTGAATCCAGGATTTGACCATGCTAGACAAGTACTCGACAAGTTGAGCCATACCCAGCCCTTCAAGTTTGCATTCTACATCCAATCCAGGAACCCAGTTGGTGTGTCATACACATGGCAGGAGCCAAAACTAGGCCCTGACAGTATCTACACTATGTCCTTTGAGATTGTGTGAGCTTTTCACCTAGCAGCCCTGAGTATGTCCCATGAGGAAGGTGGCACTAAATGCCAGGGAGTGAGACTGGGGAAGTGTGCTTGCAGAGCTCCCTTTCACTCTACAGAAGTGTGTTCTTGATGGTAAAAGATATGAGAATCTGGAAACTTGCTCATATGAACTTACACAAGACCCATGTAAACTCAAACCAGACAAAAACCTAGCATAGAGCTGGGGAAATGGGTAAGAAGTCCCAACCTTAGCTGAGGAAGTATTGGCAGCTTATCACTACTGGGTAGGGGAGAGTTGGTCTTCTTTAAGGGAGTGAGGCTAGATAGGTGGACCAGACTCCAGTGGATTAACTCACACCCAGGGACATCTGGGAATACAAACTTGACTGGGTAAGTCTTAACATATATGACAAAATGTATGAAATCTGGTAGGTAGGCTATGGGGGAGGGTGAGAAACAGGGGGGTGGTGTCTAAATATGATTAAGATGTGTTGTATAAAAAGCACAAAAATTCAATAAAAATACATATTGTTAAAAAAGAAAGTATACAGCAGGCCTCTCTTTGGGTCACCCCGCTGAGATGGAGCCTTGATGGTTCCTCATCCTGTTGGTAGAACTGTAACCATCCTGACAGGAAGGGAGTGTCTAAAGAGACCCTGATACCCCTCCCTCTGGCCATCACACTGTTGAGATGATGGCCTCTAAGAAATTAGAATTTCCTCCCTGAGTCTCATGCTGGGAGAGGGAAAGGTTGAGGCTGGTTCCAGCCAGTGGGCAAGCTTGTCTCCTAGAAAGAGAGCCTTCACACAGTTAGGACAATATGTCAGACCACTGTTGCAG